GGGAATAAAAAAATACTTCCCCAAACTTTTTTTGAGATGTGCACAGACCTTAATTTGCAAGATGTTTGGAGGGAAAGAAACAAAGATAAAAGGGAATATACATATTACTCTAATAGACATAGATTGTGGACCAGGATTAGATTTGGTAATTCAAGGAATTAACATAGAACCTAGTCTCTGGGCAGATCACAACCCCATAAGTTTTTGCTGGAAAGGGCAAAGGAGTAGACCAAAATGGACTCTTCAAAGAGTGATCCTAAGAGAAAAAGAGTTTAAGGAAAAGATGGAGAAAGAAATGCACCTTTTCTTCCAAGCAAACAAAAATGGGGATACATCTCTGCAGGATATCTGGCACACAGCCAAAGCATATATGAGGGGAGTTGCAATCTCATATATGGCTAAGAGAAATAAGGAAAGACCAGGTTAGGGATATATTGTCATGGAGAAAATCTATCTGTGTGGTTATTAGCAGTCAAAAGTGATTTGATGGCATAAAATCCATTGATCAATCATCAATCAATCAAAACAGGACCTAAGACAGTGGTTCTCAACCTTCCTAATGCCGCGACCCCTGCGGGCAGGGGCAGGAGGGGCGGGGTTTGCTCACTCTCATTCCCTCTCTTTCTCTCTCACTTTTTCTTTTTCTCTCTGGTGCGCGCACTCCGCCTTCTCTCCTGCGGCTGGAGCGCACGCCGGGCAGGCCGAGGGCGCACGCAGGCTGTTGCCCAGCAACCACCTCAGCCCGGGAGCGCTGCATATGCTGGCAAGGCGCCGCCGGCTGTGATTTCATCATGCGGAGGGCCGTGCCTCCCCCTCAGCCTGCCCGCCCGCACTTGGCCGTGCCGCTCCATGCCGTGGCACTTCTGCGTCATGATCAGCCGTCTCAGCAGGAGCCGCAGCGCCCGCCTCACTGCCCTTCTGCCCTGCACCTCGTTCCATGCAGCCCACCCCTCCTCCTCCTCCGCCAGCACCCGGCCTGGCCTGACCCCGCCCTTGGCGCCAGCATGCACGGACCCGCCGCCTGAAGACGGATAGAGGAGCGGTGTCTCAGTTCCTAACACCATCGGAAATATGTGTTTTCCGATGGTCTTAGGTGACCCCTGTGAAAGGCTCATTCGACCCCCAAAGGGGTCGCAACCCACAGGTTGAGAACCACTGACCTAAGAGGAAGTGCTCCTAAAGTCTTTAATGGAAAGTTACAATCTATGAAAGTTAAGGATTAGTTAAGTCCATCTAACTACAGAAAGGAGCTGTGGGATATCCTTCCTCTCTAGCACAAATAAAGTTCTATATCAGAGTCTGTATTCAGATCACTTTATTTTAGGTATGCTAATTTATCTGATTTTCAGTTATCATATTTATACTGTATTTTGCAATTGTATCAAGGAATTTGCCTGATTTTTTATCAAAAATTTACTGCCTTTTATACTAATTATATTCTTAACTAATTATATTCTTAAGTTTACCATTAGATTTTTGGGTCTTCCCACAGTATTCTATGGAAGATGAAGTTAGCAGCGCTAATTGCATTTTTATCAGTGTCAAAAGTACCTTTTCCTTCTCCTTGATAAAATGTATTTTATATCACAAGATAAAGGAATTTGTTTTTATCTCTTGAAAAGAACACAGTACAGCCTGAAAGCTGCAGATACTTCTCTGCTGGCAGCCAGGCCTGCCTACCTGGTCCCCTCTTATAATATGTGAACAGTGTTTTTGTCTCTCTTAGAGATTGTTGTTAGGTGCTCCAGGTCATGTTTATGGGAGGCTTGCCTTATAAATGATATTTTGCTGTTTATAATGCAATTCTTTCATCCCATGGTTGTTCCTGGTATAACAACCAAGAACATTATAGCCAATGGAAACATTCAAATGTGAAAATTGCTACTACTATTAACAGAAATTGCTCAGAAGTACTCTGTGAATAAAATCTATCAAAAAACTATAAACCTAATCTCATTAGGTAACCTGAACAGATTATTAAAGGTAGCTAGATGGAATGATATATTACAATTGAGAAAAAGGCAAACCTAGATAAAAAGTAGGCCTCAAAGCAAAGTAGCAACATATTGGGAACAGCTGCTACTCTTACTACTCCCAATGGCTTACAGGTAATTCACATCCTGGCCAGGGCCTCCATTCTGATAGTGTTCTGCATTCTGCACCTGAACAAAAGAAGATAGCATAAAAGAATGGCCTTCCAGATACAGTAGTGGCATAGTGTGGCAGATGTAGCAACAAGCAAATCTGGGCAGTAGGGATCTCTGGTAGCAGCAGGTAGGCAGGCAGCCAAAAGGACAAAGATGGGGAGAGAGAGATGGATGGGGAGCGGGGTTGAAGTGAAGGCAGTCCCTTACCTTTTTCCAAGAATGGCTTGGATCTGGGTACATCCTTGCCTAAAGACTGCATAGGATTCACTCAACAACAGAACTGGGATTGCTGCAACAGCCATCACTAAGCAGAGTGGTCACATGATGTTTCACTTAATGACTACATTGCTTAGTGATGAGTTTCCAACTGCTTCTGGGTCAAAGTAAAGTCTTATGAAGCCTTTAAATGAGTCACAAATGTTGGGGCAAAGTTTTTTATGTTGGTTGTGCATGATGTATGTGATAAAAAAAATCTATGTCCTTGCTTAATCATTATTGGTACATAAAGATTCAGCAAACACATGTAGAAACCAGCCATATACTTGACAGTGAAGATACTGGTTAATAGCTTCTACATTTTAGGATTGACATCAACATAACCATACACTGTATACCAAAGACTACTACATGGTAGACTTGAAGGTCTTGGAAAAGATATTCAGATGCCATGATGTGTATAATCAGAATCATACAGACAATGGTTTTCCCTCTGAAATGTTTCAGATGCAAAAGTTGGTCTTTGAAGAGGCAAGATAGAAAGAATATTGTCACACTTGAACTTGGGTGTTGGAGGAGATGCCTTAGAATACCATGGTTCACCAAGAAAACAATTGGACCATCAAACAAATCAGCTCAGAGTTCTCATTCGAGGCACAGGTTTCCAGGCTTATATCATTCTGCTTTGGATACATTATGATCTCATGTTGGGAAAGGTGGAAGGAAAGAGAAGAGTATGATCAGCAGCAAAGTGTATGGACTTAGTCACAGTGATAATGAACACACTATTGGAGGACTTTAAGCTCCAGGAGAAAATTTAGCTATGGGATCACTAAGATTCAATATCAACTTGATAGAAATATAATCAATAGGTCTCCAGGGAAAAAATAGTTAAGATATCCTGTTTAGTCATAAATCTAATCCAAGATCAAATACATTCAATGTTTCTATTCAATAGTCCAGGGCTATCCATCAATATCCAGGTGAGATAAAAGAAAGCATGTGACTCAAATTCAAATTTCATGCATCAGCAAACAAAATTTGCAAAAAGTATTCTGTGATGCTTATGCAATTGTTCAAACAAATCTGGGCTACTTCTTAAAGTCCTTTCTACCTTACTGTAGCTGGCTCTTAACTCTGGTCTTTCCTCAGATTAAGTCCACTGTGTGATAGTTTTAATGTACAAGCACTCCTTCAGAATTCTGCCTTCCCTTGTTCTCTCTTTAAATACTGACTTATTTGTGGCCTGAGAGAAGGCAGCTCAGGGTTTACTGAATTTTGGATAATCATGAACAGAGGAATCTGGTAGCTGTCCCTTTGCTGAAATCTGGCACAACTTCTTGATTTTTTTTCCTCAAGGGAAGAAATGCATGTGACAGATGACATTGCCATGAAAATGGCGAATGCCTGTGTTGTTTTCATCCTCTCTTTTTAAGCTCTCTTCCCAGCCAGCATCGCAACATTGGCTACAAAAGCTACGCTGAGGACTAGTTAGTGTGACGACTGTGTGTTTATATGTGGAAGTAAAGCACCTGAAAGAGATAATTTTTTTTAACAGTACTCACAAGAAGTGCTAATAGTAGCAGTAACAGTGGGAAGAATGAAATAATACCTTTTGTGTGTATAAATATATATTGTTTAAGAGTTTGTGTTGTGTTAGCTCTTTTGTGTTTTCAGCCCAGTGAAGTGGGTATACTTAAAAGAATCCATGACAAAGTGGTTGGAGCAGTGGCATATCCAAATAAAAGTGGGATATCCCAAAAAAGGGGGGGTATAAAATACAGGATGGCAACTATACAAGTGGAGGTGGCTTAAATGCTCCATTGGGGTGGGGTGGTAGGGAACTTAGCTACAAAAGGAAAGTTTGGCTCTTGCAACAGACTTGGAAAAGATAGAAGGGACAGATTCTCTTTTAGAAGAGACTACTACTGCCTGTAGTTAAACCAAAGAAGACGAACCAGAAATGGGGCTAAGCTCAGATACCTGGGCCATTACCATTGCAGAAATGTTAAAGCAACAAGAGGAAAGGTTGCTTAAAAAAGAAGAGTGACTTAGGAGAAGCAGGATGATACATAAGTAAGACTCCCAGGATTATATTTCCCTTGATATCGGGGGAAAAAAGCCTTGGGAAAGGAGTTTTTAGATGATGTAATGTTCTGGGATAATGAACCACATCATTGCATGAACCACACCTTGCATGATGAACCACATCTTTTCTAAAGACGAAAGTTCTTTGGGAGTGTGGGGAAAAATGCATGCGCCGTGCTTTCCTCCCCACAAACCTCATACCCTTTGTCCCAGTGAAGCAGCCAGTAGGTCATACCCTTTTGACTTAATGCCTCACCTACCTAAACAGTTAATATGCTTAAGTTCCTTCCTATCTCTTTCTGTCTTTGTCAGTTCTTTCTCCTTTTGATCTACCTGTATTTGTTCTTACCTGGTCTTTGACCATGTAATGTGTTACTAGAAAATAGTTGCTTACATGAAGACATTTTCCAATGAAGAAACCTTTGTCAGCATCTAATGGTTAAGCTGGTGTATGTAACAAGTATATAAGAAGCAATAAACTAGAGTTTGTCAAGCTGTGTCCTGCAGCTTCAAACCTCTGCTCAAGACATGCCTGTGTCTTTTTCTTAGCGTCTTACATCTGGCCCCTGAACAGGGACAGCCCCCATGGAGCAACTGGAACAGCCCCCCCTTCCGAGGGAGCAACAGCCAACATACTTACCAGCATCTGGAATAGACCTCTAAGTGCACTTTCGTCCTGTGGGATCCATCAGTGGTAAGTAAGGGTTGCAATCTATCTCAGCACTAGCGGAAACATGTACAGGAACTCAGATTCCTGTTACACAAATCAGGCATGAAAGCGTCTGAGGCAGACATAAGGAAGCTGGTGGGTGAGGTAGGAAAACATTCCCCTTGATATCCTAAGCGCTGGACGCTTGGGTTACGAGATTGGGAAAAGATAGGGCATACTTTACATCTTGAATCTCGGGCTCCAGTACAGGTATTACATCAATGGCATTAGTGCCATCAAGCAGTGGAAAAATTTGGCTCAGATGCTTCAGCAGGGCAACAATTAACTACAAGCCCCGCACCTGATTAGGATCAAGTAAAAACTGCCTCCGAAAGCATCTTTAATTGGATTTATAGCTCCTTCTGAAGAGGCTAATTCTTTTGCCTCCTTATGGCCATCATACATCCCCGTAAGGAAAATATTAGAGGAACAATCTTGAAGTAGAAAAAATATATATGGGGAATTGTCAAGAGGAATTTAAAGAAACAAATTAAATCAAAATGTACTCCTCTGCAATGTGTTTTGAACAATTGGGATGTTTTGAAACTTCAAGTAGCTGTTAAATTTAACCCTGTCAGACAATATCTGATAGTGCTTTGTGTTGATGTGTAGAAGTATAAATAATATTTAACAAGACAACATTGAAAAACTTTGTAAACCTCCGGTTGGCTAGTTTATCTGATAACAACTAAAGCCACGGAAGAAAAAGAAAAGAAAATTCAAAGAACTGAAAGCAAGTTTTTTCTTCTTCCCTTTTTCCCCTTTTAATTTGGCTCTATTCAATTCCCCTTTGTCAGAGGTGAGGAGAGGAGGCTGCTACTTTTCCCTCATCCTTTACACCTTCAATATTCCTTTTAGTCTTTCCCCAATGTCTTTTGAAGTTGCTGGGATAAATTGGAAGAAACCATAAATGTTCCCCTCCTTTTTAATTAAAAGGGGAGGCCTGTGTTAGCCCTCAAACCCCACCTCCCACCCACTCCCTTCCAGGCTGTGAAAGAAATAGTAAACTGCAGATTTTATTGTTGTGAAAATAAATTGAAAACCAATAGTAAGTGTTTGCATGAGAAGAGTCCCATGGAGAATGTGTGAGAGAATTTATGGAAAATGCATGTGAAGGAGAGAAAACTATTTTTTAGTGGTGAGAAGTTTGTAACAAAATTTTTTCCTGTCTCTTTTGTTTTTCAATTCGCTATGTTGCTTTAAGAGCAAGAGAGACAGAAAGAAGAGGAGAGGGGGACTGTTCGTTTTAAACTTTTTTTTCCTCTCTGCTTAGAATTCCGGTTTGCAAATGAAGATGAAATTTAATGCCCACTCTTGCAGTTTCAGATTACAAAATTTTTACTTGAAAGAAAAGACAGTAATTGTTGGATAATTTTTTGGGGGAAAAAGTGTTGAGTTTAAATTGTTTAGTTAGACTTATATATCCATCAACCAAAAGAAATGACTCTGAATTGTTTTGCTTAGATTTGTAAATGTTTAACATACTTAATAGAAATTTGTTTCCATCTGAATGGTATTTGATTAACTTGGAATTTGACTTATTGACTAAAGGAAAACAACCTGGAGATCTCATTGTAGTTCCACTTTCAGTGTTTACCACAGTTGAGCAAATTAAGTACTTGAGTACTCAATTTGTGGACAGAATTCCACATAAAAATTGTCACTTAACACTTTTCATATTTCTTACTAGTAAGCTACTATCAGGAGTATTATCTGTGTTAGAAGCACAAAAAGTATATTGTATTGAATGGCTTTACTTATCCCATCCCAAAATATTTTATCTTTTATCCAGGCTGTTGCTGAAATAATAACCTTAGGACACAATCGTGCTTGTCCTTGAAATGGAACTGATTTAATTAATATTGTTCTTCCTATCCCAAAATTTGATTTTCAATTTTATTATCAGAATAACTTATCTCTTCAGTGCTCTTTAACTGACTATATAGGCTGTATTTCATATCATCTGCCTACACTACAGTGCAATCCTCACCACAATGCTCAGAATTATCTGCTGCTATTTTAGCTTTCCACATCTTTTCTCAACAGACTTTTAACTTAATCTCTGACTCTCATTATGTGTGCCAACTTATTTTTAATTTTCCAGGTGCTTACATCATGCCCAGGATCAACACCAATCTTATGGCTTTGTTTTTAACTTTACAGCAGCTATCCTTTGTTTCTTACATACGCATCGGTCCTTTAAGGACTGCCTTCACAAACAAATAAAAAAGGGGGATCAAGGGTACCTAATTTGGCATGGATAACTCATCAAGTCAATAAAGTCCTAATAATTCTAAATCAGCTAAATATTTCTTTTCAAAAAACTACTGCCTACCAGCGTCACTTTCAGAAGAAAGCTGTGTTCCCTAATCCATTGGTATGTTATCGGCAATTGCCTGATAAAACAGCTATGCTGCTGTGCTTGCGCCTAAAGGCCCTCTCTGGATTCCATCCCAGTGTGTATGACCAGCCAAAGATGTCATGGCATCAAGTCCAGAACCCAATACTGGAAATGAAGCAGGTGACTCTTCAGACAGCACAACGTCCCTTTCGCTCTCGCCATCGCAGTTGACCAACGACCTGGGGCGATGTGAAGAACCTAACATCCAAAGCGCAGGAAGTTCTGCGGCAACAGGGAAAAGAACTTACACCAGAGAATTTATGCACTGCCATATTTGTGGTTTTCACTGCAAATTCCTTAGTCATTCTTTGCCTCACTTTCCTTCTTAATTGCTGTGTGGGGGCTCAAGCTCTCCCACCTCATCCTTTAGAATCACGGATAAAATATAATATTTGGGTGCAATTAGCTAATGTCACACAAGTGACAGACTTTTGTATTTCTGAATCATATGGTATAGAAAATCTACTCTCTGTCTTATACCTTTGTGTGTTCCAGCTTCAGTTTTAAAAAAAATTATACTGGTTTAAGCAATTTTCTATCAGACAATGAATTTCATTATGCAATTATGTCAAACTGGGGTCCTATCTCTTATATGTTACCCTTTGATGCTATTGTTCTGCATACACCAATTGTAGCTGTTCCTACAAATCTTACTTGTGCAAAAATTGTCAATTGTACTACTTCACCTAAAAAATCTCATTGTATACATGTCAGTCAAAGAATTTTAAATTGTACCTCCTTTCAAGAGGTATCCTTTAATTATGCACATATATGGTTATTCAATGTCTTTTTTTTCCTTTGCTTTCAATTTTCCATACTAAACTACCATTAACTTACCTCAGGAACAAGTTATGTTTTGTATAAACAAATGCAAAGTTATATGTCCCCTGACTAAGACCCACTAACTACTCCAGCTTAGGATAATGTCCTCACTAATAAAATAGAGAAGAGTGAGATGTGGGAAAAAATGCACACGCAGCAAACTGCCGTGCTTTCCCCCCCACAAACCTCATAACTTTTTGATACCCTTTGTCCCAGTGAAGCAGCCAGAAGGTCATACCCTTTTGACTTAATGCCTCATCTACCTAAACAAATAATATGCTTAAGTTCCTTCCTATCTCTTCCTGTCTTTGTCAGTTCTTTCTCCTTTTGATCTACCTGTATTCTTACCTGGTCTTTGACCATGTAACGTGTTACTAGAAAATAGTTGCTTACATGAAGACATTTTCCAATGAAGAAACCTTTGTCAGCATCTAATGGTTAAGCTGGTGTATGTAACAAGTATATAAGAAGCAATAAACTCAGAGTTTGTCAAGCTGTGTCCTGCAGCTTCAAACCTCTGCTCAAGACATGCCTGTGTCTTTTTCTTAGCGTCTTACATGGAAGGAACAAAATATTTGGGGCAATTTTGTCATTAGTAGCAAAAATATAGGTTGGTTACAGGCATATAAATTCCATGGTAATTTACCTGGGGCAAAACCTGTGGCTGTCATAGCTCATCTAGATAAAGTATTGCACAATGTGGGGAGGAGACCATAGCTGTGGTAGCAATGTCCAACTGCCAGATTTATTTGGCTATTTTCCACAACTGTGACTTGCTCCTTTTTACTTCTCAGCAAGACCTTATATTTCCATTAAAAAAAAATCCATGTAGGGAAGTTACGTCTGTTGATCTGATGTACTTTGAGTTATTTGGTCTTGGCACCAACACATTTTCAGTCAAACGAAATCTTAGAATCAAGCTAGGTTCTGTGGTTTTATCAGAACTTGGCCCACCAAATACTCCTGAATTTTACTTTGTTGAAGGAAAAGTCTTCATCATGGTTCAGTCCAAGCTGGGAATAAACAACATGGCAACTGCTTTAGAAAGAAGGTTGCAGTTTACTGAAGAGGCGAGCCAGACAGGAAGATGGCTCTGGAAGAAAAGGGAGTGAGCACATGTAAGGAGTGGATTTTTAGTACCTTCTGGAGCCTTTTGTTTGGAGTTGTTCCTGTGGCATAAACTTTGACCTGAGTCTGAACGTGCCTTTCTGGTATTCTGATGGTGGTGGATTAATCCTATTATGTCCCAAAGATCATATCCTGCTTCCCTGGGGCTGTGGCTGATGACTCCTAGATTTTTGGTGTGAGGGATTGTTGATTCTAGGGATCTTTCTTCCTAATCCCAGTTTCCTGACTCGTCTTTTTGACAAGATTATCACATCTGCATTTCTGCAGACTTGGTTTCTGTTTGGAAAAGAGATTTTTTGGGGGGGGGGTTGATTTCTGCCTTTAAAATCCTTTAGGGAAATATTTCCAAGAATATTTCTTTCTCTGGGGAGGGGGCTGACTTCCCACAACTGATATTTGTTTTCATCTATTTCTCAGGCCAGGAGACAGGTTGAGCCATACTGATGGTGTTAAAGCAAAATATCCCTCCCATATTCTAACAGTATCCAAAGGAAGCTTCAAACAAGCTACATTTAAGAATTGATCGCCTATTATTTTAGAGCATTAGAGTGTCTCAAACTTGGCGACTTTAAAATGGATGTACTTCAACTGCCAAAATTCCCCATCCAGCCTGCTAAGTCGCCAAGTTTGAAAAAAAGTATTTTAGGGGGAACGAGAAGTGGAGAGTAACAAGAAAAAAGTTCGCCATTGGCCAGGACGGCAAATTTCATGCGGCTACAGTTTCCGCCGTTCAAGGACAAGCGGAGAACACAGGGCTTCTAAAGCGGTGGTCTTCCTTCCTCTCGTAGACGGAACAAGTCCGCCGTCCGTCCACACTCCGCTTTTCTTCACAGGACAAACCCACCCTCCCTCTCGTGGGATCCGCACCTAACGATTGGACCAGTTATTTCCCCCGCCCCTAAACACACTTTCCCTCTCGTGATTGGTCTCACCGAAACTTGGAACATCATCATCCTTATCATCCTCCGCTTCCGCCTCTGGGTCTTGCTTGCCGTTCAGCAGCGAATAAAGCCGCTCCCCCCTCCTCCGCGAGCGCCTTCTCCTCACGGGCGAGGCCAGCGCGGCTTAGGGCCAAGGGCGCGCCGTCCCCGCCTCAGAGTGACGCTCTGGCCTATGATTGGCGAAGGTTCCCGGCTGGGTTTCCGGTGCGATAAAGCAGCCCTGGGACGGGCGGTGGTTGGTGTCTAGGTTGTTCCTGTCCGAGCCGGCAAGATGAAGCGCAGCGCCAAGAAGGGAGGCGGACAACCTCGTGCCAACGGCTGCAGCCTCCCAGCGAATGGTTGCGGTCGGAAAAACGGTTACGTGCGAGGTTTCGCGGGGCCCGAGTCTCACGGCCAGGTAAGGCGGTGGTCGGAGCATCTGTCTCTGCACGAAGACGCGCCCGCCAGGATGCCTCTTGGGGTGGCGGAGGCCTGGTCGGTGCTCGCTCCCAGTCAAGAGGCCTCGGGCCGGGCCGGGCTATGCTTTGCTGGAATCTCTTGCTGTCGGTCACGCGGCGGAGCGAGGAAAGGATGGCCTTGAGCGGTCGGCTTCCTCCGTGGCTGTTTTCTGCCCTCGTTTCCTGGTGCGTCGAGACGACCCTGTCAGAGGAAAAAGTTTCCCTTCCCGTTTCCCCCCCCCCTAATTGGCTCTATCTAGGTATACATGGCACACTGAATCACACAGGCTGCCATAGTTTGTGTTTCTGGGGGTTGTGCAAACAATATTGCCTTTTCTAAGGCTAACGCAGTGTATGTCATGGGTATGCTGGGAATGTGAGTGTAGATGTTCAACTAGCAAAATGTTGAATCTCTAGTATTGAATCTACAGCTTATTTCTAGAACACCTGCTAAAGTATACACTATACTTTATTGTAAGCAGTAAATTTGTAAGCAGTAAATCACTGCCTTGATTTATAGCTAGCATGTCATTATTTTCTCCCATAATCCTGTGAACATTTTGTAACTTGTACAAATGGATCATATTCTTCTGTGCAAATTTATTGATGCAGCTGTAATCTTGTATTATATTGTAATGAGGCTTATTTGTGATTAATGATTTTAAGTTATATTTTCACAAGATACTTATGTCTTTTCATAGTAGAGTCCAATACTTAATGGCTGCAGAAAGCTACTTTCAGGAGTTTTCAGTTATGTTTAAATATGAGTGTCACAAAGAACTTTGTTAAAGACATCTGCAACAGAAAAAATATGCTAAATTTGAGCTATAATTTTAATCACTGCTGTTCAGTGGATGATTCTTCCCCACTTCTTTAATTTTTTATACACAAACAGAAGTTACAAACAAGTTGGAGAGATTTACTTAAGTAACATAGTTAAAAACAGTGTGCACTTAAAAATTCTTTTGTCAGTTACCATGTTCGTTTTGTTGATAGTCTTAGCTTTTGAATTTATTAAAGGAAAAGTAATATTCTATCCTGTTATTCTTTTCCTCATTGTTAATTTCATTTAGTCTGCCCAAATGTTAAAGCTCAGAAATCCAGTTTGCTCAAAATCCAAGATTGTAAATGTAAATGTTAATCAAAATCATACCCTGAAATGAAATCAAACAATATTTTCCTCCTCTCTATTTTTAATTGGGAAAGCCTGCTAACAAAACTAGCAAAAAGTATTGTCCCCAGTCAAATGGAAGTTCTCATGCAGACTAATTCATAAAGCTTTCTAGATTTCTACAGAGTTGAAACTTCCACACTCCTGCAACAAATAATACATTTAAAAGTTTCAGCCTGGTTGGGCTTTTTTTTTTTTCAGATTAGACACCATAGCCTCTTTGGCAAGTCACAATCATAGTTGATTTAGGATAGAAAGTGTTAGAAAATTTGCAGATAACACAAAAATATCTTCTTAGGGAACCAATCAATATCAATATACAGCTTGACAGATCTAAACAATCAATCCATGAACTGCATTGCCTCCCAGTAAGCTTCCAGGTGCAATTCAAGGTGCTGGTTACCACATAAAGTGTTTCATAGTATGAGGCCAGGGCCACCTTTCTTCAGTTGTTTTTGCCCAGCCCAGTATATCTGAAAGGGTGGGCATATTCCAGCTCCCATCTATTAAACAATGCTGTCTGGCAGACCCAGGAAGTGGGCCTTTTTTGTTGTAATGCCTGCCTTGTAGAATATAGCACTATAGCAATAGCACTATATACACTCCATAGTGCTTTATAGCACTCTCTGAGCAGTTTACAAATGTCAGCATATTGCCCCCAACAATCTGGGCCCTCATTTTACTGACCTTGGAAGGATGGAAGTCTGAGTCAATGTTGAGCTGGTCAGGGTCGAACTGGCAGTGGGCATAGTTAACCTGCAATACTGCATTCTAACCACTGTGTTACCACAGTTCTATACCCTGAGGTTTCTTTTGCCTCAACTCTGTTGGCATTTTGTAAATTCTTGATGACCTGAATGTTTCCCCATGGCAGGGGACCCATAGCTTAGAAAAGCTTATTGTAGTTTTCTTTGGCATGATATGATTTATAGAGCCACCCAGAATCATGAGTGGAAGATGGATGGTTATATAAATTGATAAGTAGTAAATAAGAAAAATTGATTTTATTTCAGCAGGATATAGATATAATAAAAATAGATTGAAGAAACTCCCTTGGAAGTTGGTAGATTTTCTTTTGTGGAGGTATTTAAACATAAGATGGGTAGTCATCTATTTGGGGATTCCTGTATTGAGAAAGAAATTAAACAAATGCTCTCCAAGGTCCATTCCAACCTTTTTCTTCTATTATTTAAGTGAGACAACCAAAACTATTCGGAAAAACAATCATAATAAACACTGTAAACATTTTAACTCCACTTCTCTATCCATTGCATTTTGTTTACATTGTACAGACAATGAAAATAGCCAAAGTTGGAAGAAATTTATTTCCACAGTCCAGTCAATCATCTAATCTTCATGATACAGATCAAATTACTACACTTATCCAAGATCAAATGATTACTATAGATACATGTATTCTTAATTGGTCTTGGAAGTTTCCAAAACATGGATCACCTTAATTTAACCACTTTTATTCCTTTCAAAGCTATATATTAACAAACCATTAAATAGATAACATCATCCCAGTTGACTGCTCCCTGTTGGATTGACTTCTGTAATTGTAGATTTTTTAGTTGTGCAGTTATTGTTTATCTAACTGACTTTTCCCCAGGAGCCAATGGCACTCAGTTTAAGTCTCATAATAATAAGTCTGTGGCCCAAAAGTCTAAGATCCATGATAGATAAAAACTTGATAATTCTAAGAAAAATCATTTCAAAAGTGATCTCGTTGAGATTACACTATTGATGTAAAATGGCAAGGAAATAACAGACAATAGAGAGAAAGCAGAACTGTTTAGTTCATTTTGCATCTGTCTTCATGCAAAAATGCAGCTCAGCGTATCAAAAATCCATAAAAGATACACTAGAAATGTAAATTAAAATAAACAAGAAAAACCTGTCCATTCTAGATAGATTCAAATCACTGGGTCCTAACGGATTACATCCCAGAGTTCTGAAGGAACTGGCAGTATGATATCAGAAACAATGTACCATATCTTTCAAAGTTCTTAGAGTACTGGGAACTATCTGAGGAGTGGAAAAGAGTTGATGTGATTCCCATCTTCAAAAAGAAAAGAAAAAACACCCAGAAACTACAGACCATCAATACCTGGGAAGATCCTGGAAAAGATACAACAAATCTGCAAGCAAAGTTATAACCAATATGTATTTGTCAAAAACAAATCATGCCAAACAAATCTTATTCCTTTCTTTGACAAAGTGACTGAAGTAGCGAAATGCTGTGGATATAGTATACTTGGATTTCAGTAAAACATTTGACAAACTAGGCAAGCTAATTTGTAACTGCTGACAGACTGTACTCAACATGTAGTCCTTAACAGAACTACATCCACATGGAGGGAATTAAGCAGCAGAGTACCCTAAGGTTCCATTTTAGGCCCAGGACTCTTCAATATCTTTATAGATGATCTAGACAAGGGAATAGAAGGGGAACTCACCAATTTGCAGATGACACTTAAGCTGTCAAGAATAGCCAATACCCCAGAAGAAGGACTCAAAATCCAAATGGATCTCAACAGACTTGAACACTAGCCCCAATCTTAACAAAATAAAATTCAATGTAGAGAAAAGTAAGGTTTTACTCTTAGGCAAGAAAAACCAATTGTACAGTTATAGATTAGGTGAAACCTGGCTCAATAGCAGTCTTGGTGGACAAGCACTTAAATATGAGCCAGCAGTGCCTGAATTTTGATCACATGACTATGGAGATGCTGCAACAATTGTATGTATAAAAAACAGTCATTAGTCGCTTTTTTTCAGTGCCATTGTAACTTCAAGTGGTCACTAGATGTATGGTTGTAAACCAAGGAGTACCTGTAAACTTGGGTTTCTAATCTGCTGTCATTTTCATGTTTGATGGTATTACAGATATTGTCGCAGGATGGAAGCAGTTCCTAGTAAGGCCGCCTTTTGCAATTGACTAATGGCAAATTAGTCAATGCCAGTGGTGTTCAAGTGGTGCTCCAGTTGTTTTGGGATTGCACCCAAGGTGCAATTGGTACTACCCTTGCTTGCCTTTGCTACAGTCTTTCTATTTCTATTTGTAGGTCTTTGTATTTTGTTATCTTCTCCAGTTCTTTCTCATCTATTTTGCTGTCTCTAGGCACTGCCACATCCACTATCCAGATTTTTTTTGTCTTTCTTATCGACAATTGTTAAGTCCGGGGTGTTATGTTGCAGGTGCTTGTCTGTTTGAATTCTGAAGTCCCAGAGCAGTTTAACTTTATCATTTTCTATGATTTTCTCTATTTTATGATCCCATCAGTTCTTGCTTATAGGCAAATGATATTTCTTGCAGATCTTCCAGTGCACCATTGTTGCTACTTTGTCATGCCACTGCTTGTAGTCGTCTGTGCGATCTTCTTGCAGCAGCTTACCAGGAGGTCCACTGTTTCTTCAGCTTCTTTGCATAGGCATCACTTATTGTCTGTTGCTGTCTTCTCAATTTTGACTTTGTATGCATTTGTTCTTAAGGCTTGGTCTTGTGCAGGCAG